GAGGGAAGGTCTTCAGGCCTTCCCTCGCGAATGTTGCAAGCTGGCGTAAGCCGCATGGCCGAAAGGGGATTTCCTGCTACCTCCCTGCCCCACCCCCAGTCCCTAGCTTCGCCTGGCTGGCTAAGCCTAGCTGTCCCGGTTGTCTCTTGTCCCTTCAGTCCAGCTTACCTGCTGCCATGTCGCCTGCCTACTCCCTGCTGCATCCATCGCATCGGAGAGCTGCTGATTCTGCCTGCTGGTAAGTGACCCGGGTTTTTTTTTTCTTTTATGCTTTTAATGTTTTTTTAAAGAATATTTTATTTATTGTGTATAGAATTTTTTTAATCATTTTATTTAAAAGTATTGAGTATAGAATTTTTTTAAATGATTTATTTCAATTTATTGTATGTAGAATCCTTTTTTAAATTGTCTTAGACTATTTAAAAAATATTCTATCAACAATACATTGAAATAAACCATTTAAAAATATTCTATACTCAATACATTTAAAAGTATTGTGTACAGAATATTTTTAAATTGTTTTATTGTAATTTATTGTGTATAGAATATTTTAATAGTTTTAAGGACTTTTTTTATTATTTATAGAATATATATTTTTTAAATATATTTTTGCCAGATTTTGTGTTTCTTGTGATACCAGTTGTTTAGGTAATTGTGAGGTGGTTGCGGTTCTGTGAGTTTCCTGGCACTGTCCTTTATAATTTCCCACAATGCCTTGATGGATTTTATTCCAGTGGCTGTGTCTTTCCTGTCTTTAAGGTTAGAGAAAAACCAAATCCATAGATAAGCCAACTGACAAACATTTATCCAGTACTTGCAAAATATTTTCTACTGTTTACGATCTGGTGTAAAGATGTAATCCATTCTCAGACATCGAAGCGTAGGTAAATTTGCTAACTACGGTTGGAGTGGATGTGGGAGTTGGCTTGCATTCATGGAGATCCACACTGAAAATAATTGAATTCATTGCAGACGAAATCAAAACCACCATGTTTTCCAGGATTATTGCAAAGAATCTAAAGGTGTGCCTAATAATCAATGAAGCCTCAACACTTTCAATGAAAGCAGTGCTGAAAGTTTTTGTTAGAGTTGAGGATCCAGAATGCCCAGCAACCATTTTCATTGAGCCTTTGGAATTAGAGAAACAAGATGCGGAGATCATATGTTCTGCAGCGATGGGAAGCTTGCGTAAAGTTGGGTTTACCACCAACTTCTGGAGAATTCTTTCTCCAGAAGAATTTAATCGCTTTCTGCTCTGATGGTGCCAATGTTATACTTGGAAGAAAATCTGGAGTCAGCACCAGAATAGCTCAAGACTTCCCAAACATCATAATCTGGCACTGCTTGAACCACCGCCTCCAACTTGTGCTGGATGANGCCTCGGAGGCAGCTGCTAGCTCCAAGAGAGAGAGAGAAAGAGAGAGGGGGGTGGGAGGGGCTGCTCAAAGCAACAGAAAAAGAAAAAATCTGTGAGGGAAGTCCGCGGTCTCCACATGGAGTAAGTCTTCTCCTCCCTCAGCCATTGGCAACAGCTCCCAGGGACGCGCAGGTGGGAATGCGCTCATCTCGAAGAAGAATATACGCTCCCAGTTGCTAGGAGAGCCTCGGCGGCTAGAGGCTTTTTCATAACTTTAAAAAAAATTGAGACTTTTAAAAAAAAAACCGGGACGCGGAAAAAAGTTGTGAAAAGGCGTGACTATCCCGCCAAAAGCATGACGTCTGGTCACCTTAGTTTATATACAATATAAAAATTAAGAAATGACTAGCAGATATCTGAAACATTCTGGTGTTTTTGAGAACTAAAATATACAATGTAATTCAAACTAATTAATTGGATTGGAAGTTACTGTGTCTTATCTATTAAAATGAACAATTTGTAAAAAAAAGTATGCATATTTTAGAAAGCTAGTAAGAAACCAAAAAGAGAACATTTACCAGCACTGGAGTTTTCCTCCTGATTATATATTCCACATACATCTATCACATCATGTGTACCCTGTGGGAAATTTGCTTCAGAACTAAGCAGAAAGAAACAGAAACAGAAGTGAAACAATTTAACTTAAGATTCCAATTGTAAAAGTCAATTTGATTTTAATATTAAATAGCATGTTAGATTTCTTGACATAGTACAGAATTGATTTAACATTAAATTACATAACACTAGAAATATGCATACCATAGTATAAAATATCAGGGCTGTGTATGCTTTATAACTTAGTATCTGTATGCAGCCTAAAGTCTGGATTGAGGAGACAAATAAATTCATACATTAAAAAAAATATTAAATAGAAATTATTGGGAAGAATAATTTCAATAATCCTTTGGACATGATCATGAACACAGTACTTTCAGTTATACATTTAAGTAGCCAACTTGTTTAAAACTTCAACACCAGCCTGACAAACTGCACTTTGAGTATAGTAAACACTTACCTAGTAAAGACCTACCTTTTAATTTTTCCTTGCCTTATTTTGCTAATGTGATCAAGTATCTCAGGATCCATGATGCAACTTGTTGATTCAATTAAAATGACACTGCAAAAAGTTATTTAAGTTATCAGAAAGCGTATAGTTTTCACAAATAATAAAAAAAATATTTTACAAAAACAGAATCTAAATGTTTATTTAGATTTCCAGGATGATATCTAATTTGGTACTGACAGAGGGAAAGTTATGCAAAACATATTTTTGTCTCAGCAAGTCCATTCTCCCATCCAAAGTTTGCAAAAAATATTGTATGAATAAATGGCCAATCTTCCTGAATGGCCAACGTTATTGCATGAGGGTAATGAAAATTACCAACATTTTCCTTTATATTTTACTTATTTAATTTTTGTCCCACCTTTCTGTTTTCCCCAGCACCCCAATAATACCATCCTAACCCCTTTTTTCACGTGGGTTACTGAAATCCCAGCAGCTTGGCTAAGGTCCTGATATGACCCAAAACATTTGATGTCATCCTTAGAATTTAGGCCTATGAATCTTAAAGCTCCTGGAGAGTAGCAGTGTTTTTAATATCTTTACCAGATGTTCTATTTTGCACTTTATGGTTCAAAAAACTACCTAGAGAACACATACATATATGATGCAATATATTTGTTCCATGTACATGGTGAGGGGGGGGGGCGATCATTTATCAATCTGTGATCTTCAATCTAAAAATTTCTTTCTGAATATAAATAAAAGAAAGAATACAAATGCCTAAAACCAAATTAATCTGTTAAATCAAATGGATTTTTTACAGTACAATATATAACACCACATCCTAATAAGCATTTGAAAATAATGTATTAGCAATTCAGGGATTTTCTTCCATGTCTTGAACTATAAAGCAACATTGATCAAGCAACCTGAACATGCTGGCAGCCTAATACAAATATGAAGAAAATATGGACAAAGAGATTATTTACACCTACTATTTTCTTTTCACTACTATTAAGTTTCCATTACAAATAAGTGGAGCTAAATTATTTAGATTCTGCATTGTTTGTTTTTCCCTAGTCTTTGGAACATAAAAATATAGAAGTGCTTAGGATCTAAAACATTAACAGCTCCTTCCCTAAATTACAACATGCCATATCTCTTGTCAGTTTTTATAACATCAGAATTTCCCATTTGAGGAAGAGCTGCTGGCCAAAGGAGATTTTTTTTTTAAAAAATTGCCAATACTTGATTTTTCTTATCCCATCCCACATAGATGTCCTTTCTCAAAAATGAAGACGAAAATCTGACATAAAGTCTGGCAGGACATAGGTATGTAGAGCTATGTGTACGTGCGTATATGCATGCATGTATATACATACACACACATACATATACACATATACAGAGAGAGAAACTTAAGTAATTTTACTTTTTGAACATTTTAAATTATAAATGCATACCTGAATGGCCCCTCAGTTCTGAATGGACTAGTAACCTGTAGATTATATTTTTTCAATTGATAACATGAAGATTTGCATTTTAATATGCCCTATGGATAAATAGAAACATGTATTAGCGTGGAGGTTTACATCAATAGTTCATGAATTAAAAACACAGTTGTTAAATTGCTATTTTTAAGCAAAAAAAAACAACAACAACCCTCTTTCAGCTTTGGTACAAATAGGCCAAGTATCAACTGTCCAACTAGTGAACCCAAAACAAGGAAACACTCTTGAGAGACTTGAATTTACCAAAGTAAAACTTTATTGGATAAACCATATTGATACTGAAGAAACAAAATGAGCTCTGGTTTTCCAATGCAAATGCTTGCCCAGTTAAACAATAGTTTCCCCTTCTCCCCACCTCTGGGTGATCACATTGTCCAATTATGAGACATCCTTTTATTATGGATACAACCCATCTCTTTTTTAAGCACCGACAGCAGTAACCTTGATGGCTTCCATGCTGTCACAATCTCTGCATACGTTCTCCACATTCCATTTCCCCCTTCCCTCCCCCCAATTCATTGGCAAGTTGAAAGGTTTAAAAGAAACAAAGCAGAAAATCTTCTTAATGAAAAGTATAGAACAGGTTCTGCTGATTTAGATGAAAGTATAAATGTCTTTGAAATCTCATGGTGTGGGATTTAAATTACTGGAGAAGGCAATCAGATGCCTTCCAGATATAATATAGGGTTCCTTCACTGCTATGTGGGTATGTTAAAAAGGTGTAGAACTCCGAAACTTCTAGAGAATATCAGGTTGTCTAATAATCCTAGGCAAATTGATTGAAAAGAATAAATTGAATGCCAACTGTGACCTTAGGCCAGACTCTTTCTCAACCCAACCTACCTCACAGTTGTTGTTTTGGTGAAAATAGGAAGAGGAAGAAGTATTATTGTCAAACCTGAAAACCATCTTTTATTTTTGGGCCTTTAGGCCTCCCACATTTTCTACTGTGGGAAAATGAGAAGGGGGATTATATGGACTATGGGTTATATATAGTCAAAATAACATTCTTTCTCAGAGAGTCAAGGCCACCTTGCCCTGCAGCTGTGATGACGTGACAGGGAGGAATCTCCAGTTTTGGATGCTGGGCAGGGATTTGAACTTTCTTCTGGGTGGGGAAAACCTGGAAACTTTCAGATTTGGGTTTTCCCAGATATGCCAATATGACATATCTAATANGCTTTTGAAGTGCTTAGACAGAGAAAGGGCACATATGAAAACAACATTGATGCAATGCTAAAAACACAAGCCTTCAAAAACATCAATTTAAACATCCAAATCAACAATTAGTTGCCCTTCCTCATGACAAGATTCTGTCAAGCATCATCACCAATTTCAAGAAAAGGCTGATGAATTGTGACCATCTAAAAACAGGTAGCCAATTGCCAGATGCAAACAAGTTACACTTTATCACATATTTGGAGCCAGATTACTGGAACATGGAAGATGTACTCGTTCCATGGGCTGAGGCAGAGGCAATATTGTTTGAATTTGGTGAAATTTTTAATTATGAAATTAATTTGAATGACTACAGAATTTTTGGGGGAAATGTGCTAAAAAATCCAAACAAATAAAAAATTCCTGACGGTATCAGAAAAGCTAGAGATATTGTCAGGACAATTGCTGTTAGTTCAGCAGAGGCGGAAAGGGGGTTCTCAAAAATGAACCTATATGTTCAGAACAAAGAACCTGCCTAATTGTTCCAAACATAAATAATCTGATGGTGATAAGTGTTGTTGGCATGAGATGGGACCCAATTCCTGCAGTGAAAAAGTGCCTCAGAGTGCACCACTGCACGGCTGATGATCCACAAATAAAGACCAAGAAAGCTGCAACTGAGGACTCTGGAAGCCTAAGAACAATATGGAAGTATCAACAACCAGAAAACCAATAACACAAGTAAGTACTTGAGTGTATCTCTTTCATTGTGTTATTCTTACGTAAGGTATAAGTGCATGCGATTAAAGTCCTCCTTTCTGTGTCTCTTCTTTGTGCAGGTTATTGGAGCAAGGTGGTGAAGTGGTGGTGCAGAAGGCCGGCAAGGCAGTAATCTTCCCTTTGTAAGTAGCTGTCTTTATTGCTGGGTGTGCTGGGTTCATCCTTAATATAGTAAGTACAAGCAGTTAAAGTTCTCCTTTCTGTGTCTCTTCATTGTACAGGTTATTGGAGCAAGGTGGTGAGGTGGTGGTACAGAAGATGGAGAAAAGGACAGTAATCTTCCTTTTCTATTATTTTGTATGCTTGTTTCATCCTAATGCAGTACATGTGATTAAAGTCTTCCTTTCTGTGTCTCTTCTTTGTGCAGGTTATTGGAGCAAGGTGGTGAGGTGGTGGCACAGAAGATGGAGAAAAGGACAGTAATCTTCCTTTTCTATTATTTTTTGTGCTTGTTTCATCCTAATGCAGTGCATGCGATTAAAGTCCTCTTTTCTGTGTCTCTTCTTTGTGCAGGTTATTGGAGCAAGGTGGTGAGGTGGTGGTGCAGAAGATGGAGAAAAGGACAGTAATCTTCCTTTTCGATGATTTTTTGTGCTTGTTTCATCCTAATGCAGTGCATGCGATTAAAGTCTTCCTTTCTGTGTCTCTTCTTTGTGCAGGTTATTGGAGCAAGGTGGTGAGGTGGTGGTGCAGAAGATGGAGAAAAGGACAGTAATCTTCCTTTTCGATGATTTTTTGTGCTTGTTTCATCCTAATGCAGTGCATGCGATTAAAGTCTTCCTTTCTGTGTCTCTTCTTTGTGCAGGTTATTGGAGCAAGGTGGAGAGGTGGTGGTGCAGAAGATGGAGAAAAGGAAAGTAATCTTAAATTTCTATTATTTTTTGTACTTGTTTCATCCTAATGCAGTGCATGCGATTAAAGTCCTC